GATACTATTTACTCATGTGAATTTTGATAACGGGTTTTTTGCGGGTTAAAATATTTTAGTTCGTTGCAGGCCAGACATAGCGGACGAGTTTAACTCGCTTGACAACTATATTTAGGTCATTTGTTTCAAGAATTTTTAGTGTTTTTTGTTGTTTTTACCTGGTTTGATAGTTTACGATTTATGTAGAAATCTAGAATATCACTAATCAGGTTTACACTTGATCCGTGTCCGCTATCATGTCGATTTAAAGCGATTATTATTTCAAACATTCAAAAATTTGAAGAAAGCAAAGCAAACGTATGTGTGGCTCTGAATCTCTTACCTATTGTTTTTATATGTTAGACTAAAATATATAATCTCAAATGAGTATTCAAACCACTATTGTAAGATGGAAAAGCATGATATATATGGATGGGACTCTACGGTTATGAAATAGTCACATTTTTGGTTTTTTTTACTATTTCTCTTTTATGTAATGTTCTTAACTTAACAAAAACAAATCTGATAATTTCTTTATCTAAATCGAATTAAAAACAACATGAAACTGGTACGAATTCTTCTAATTATGAATTAAATACTATTATTTAAAAATATGTTTACAAACTTAACCTTGCATGTATGTAATATATTGAAATCAACTCCGCACGCACGTATGTAATACGAACTTTTGAAATCAACCCCACACGTACGTGCGGGTCCATCCCTAGTAATTATTAAGATTACATAATACGGTTGATTAACTTGTGAAAAGATAGTAAAAATGTGGATTTAACCCATAATATCGATTCAAACTCTTCCATTTATGCAACATGCCCTGCAATATAACATATATGTGTTATTTTAACATGTACTATATAGGTCATGTGAAAGTATATTAAAATGAGGATTTAACCCGTAATATTGGTTCACTCTTTCCATTATACAACATATCCAACAATATTATAATTCGTCTGTGTCATTTTTGATATTTGGTATGTTTAAATACTTATAATTTTAAACTTTTTATTAAGTTTAGATATACAAATTATAACAGTTTTAAATTCTTAAATTTCTAAAATTAACTATATATAGTAAAAATTTAAAAGTTTAATTTTGTTAACCGAACTAAACCATATATATATATATATATATATATATATATTTCTGAATTTTGTATGTTATGAAGTGAAACTTCCTGCCCATTATGATTTGGATTTATTATGATCTTATTTATAATATGACTTTGAATCATTCTCTAAATATGTTAACTAATGTGGAACGATGAACACACACTTCTAATATATTGATTAAAAATTTCCCTTTTTAAAACTTCGAATAACAGTGCATGCAAAAGAAATAGTGTTTTACTAACATTTTGTATTTTATGATGGTTCAAAACGATTTAAAAAATAAACTCAAACAAAGATGATAATTCTAATTTTAAATCTTGAAAAATATTATATTTATCTATATTATTAATTTTGGAACAATATGTGGATATTTTAAATTTTATAATTAATGTTAAATATTTTAAATATGTTTTGTAATATGGATAGAAGGGAGAATTATTTTGCTAAGTTGTTTAAATATGGATATAGCAAGACATACATTATATTTGTTTTTGAAAATGAGGATGTATTTCTAAAATATTTTTCAAAAATACTAGTATAGAACTACAGATTATAACAACCACTTAGATGAACATATGAATTAGTAATACTTAGGGCAATTAACCTTTTATCAATCCAACATGTTGTTGACGTAAGAGAAGATGAACCTTCGATTCTAAGAAGCAAGGATTTGTAGTTTTGGTTCATAATAGAGATTCAACTGGTTTTAGTTGAGAACCAGAGTTGAATGATTTCCAATTTACAACTTCAATTCACATTCATGAGAGAATTTGTTATTATTCGATGATCGAGTCAATGAAGAGAAGAAGAACTTTGGTGGATTAATTTTGTAGATGATTAATATGTACAATGCTTCCTCTCGGTATGCAATACATCTCGGGACAATGTTTTAGTTTTACGTCATATGATGTTGGTTTTTACGGGTTTTAGTTTAGTATTAAAGTTATATAATTTGAATGTTAAGTGTTTTAAGATTTAACCTAGGCCTGAGCATATTAACCGCATCCGAAACCCAAACCCGGATCCGACCTGTAATAAGCAGTTCGGTTCGGGTATGGATACTATGAAATACCCGATCGGATTTCATTTGAGAAAAATAGCCAAGTGGCTATAGGAATTGTTTTTACTAGTACTAGACTATCTTATTATATAAAGTTGTGTTTTCAAAGCTAGTCATTAATAAGATTGTGACACGTGTTAATTGAATTGATAAGATGTTGACACGTGTCAGATAATTAGTTGTAAGAAATTATATAAATCTGTTTTCAAAAAAAAATGAAGCTTCTTTTATATCAACATATTCCGGGTTAGAATCCTTCTTTTTTTTTAACTCTTGATTGATTATTTATTGCAAATTATGAGAATTGTTACAATGACGATTCTACTACCGACAATTCTGTCCGACCCTTTTAGATTTACCACAAATTACACCTTTTCCTGACGACATCTCTTTCTCCATGCGTAGAATCACGGCGAACGGCTCTAATTGTGCATTGTTATAGATCTCCTGTAAGCTTATCTCTTTGATCTGCAAATTAAATAAATCGCATTACCTGGACGTCGAACCCCAGACCTCTTGGTGTAGAAGCTTTAAACAACCTTTCGTCAACATATTCCGGGTTAGAATCCTTCCTCCAGCATATTATTTTTAAGGGAAAAAAATAAATATTTTTGCAATAAATGAGGCCAGTACATTTTGCACAAAAACCTTGCAGAATCATACATATAAAAGTAAAGTCCCACTTTCTCCTTATTGGTGGAAAAACATTTAAGCCCTTCATTTAAAAAAAAACATATATATATATGGGGTTATTGTCTAATTGGGCCTTTATTTGTGATAATCATTCAATACAAAATGTTTATGATAATCATTCAATACAAAATTAAATTACACCATAAGTTATAAACAAATGGCAAAGAAAATGAAAGGAGTTAATTATATATATGGGGTTATTGTCTAATTGGGCCTTTATTGCCCAAAATCTTTCAAATTGGGCATTTCTATCCGTCCTTCCAGATTAGGGCATTTTTTAAGTTTCGAAATGACGCTATTGCCCTCTTTCGTCGTGCGCGTGATTTGAATCGGCTTGAAACTCGGTAACTGCTCCGGCGATTTGATGTTATTCAACTGTTTTGGGTTTTTGTGGATGGTAATTGATGATGTGTCTCGTGGGAGCAGTAGATGTATGGGTTACAACGTCGATTGTTGAGGATATATTTGAGTATTTGGTTTTCTGTGGACAGTTTGAGAAAGGGGGAAAAAAATTTACCAAAGAAGAACCGAGTAATTCGTTAACGAATAACCGTCTGATAGAGAGAAGGAGTTATGAACGATGAGGTTAGTAACCATATCCTTACTCTGTTATTACGAATCTTAGTAGTTCCTTGTTCTGCATACACTTTTTCTAACTTTTCTTGAATAACCTTGGTTTGTCTTCTTTGGTACTTTTATCAGTGCGGTAGTATTTGAGGTAGTTAGAACTCTTCCTTATGTAGTTGTCAGATGCCTAAGTTGAATACAACGTTTCACAGTAATATGTTTTATGTCGTGATTGCTCTTTGATGTGTGTCTAACTCTCTGGTCTTTTTTTGTTTTACAGTCGGAGGATGTCGTAGTGATTGTCGTTGCAGGCAGTTGGGAATTGAAGCTGGAATCTGGGATTTCGTTCTTGCTAAAGAATGTTATGCAAGGAATGTGGCTATGAGGATGTCGATGAGCTGTGAATCACTGGTTCGCCATGTTAGTGATGAGTTTGAGCTGCAGACAATGCAAATGATGCCAAAACTGAGTTACTGGCTTCCATCTCAGCTATCTATGTTCTCAGTCAACCGCAGACCTCCAGTTATTATTACTAGCACAGTCGGTCTAAGGAACTTTATGAATGTTCGTAGAAGTTGCATTCACTTACATTTGTTGCTGTCTTTGGAAGTTTGTTCAGTTGATGGTAATGGTGGGATGAGCTTGAGGAAGATATGTGTTAGCAAACCTGGTGATATGATTTGCAGGGAGATGATGTAGATGAAACTAATCCGCCGATCAGGTTTTATAGCATAGAATTTGTTCCTTCACAAAGCCCTGAAAGGAATACTGAAAGGAATACTGAGAGGACAACTCGAGAAGGTCTTAGGCGTACGCTATTCCCAGCTAGTAATGATGTGGGGTTATCAAGCAGAGGCCGATTAGGAGCAGGTATTGGTGGTTGGGGAGCTGTTGCTAGTGCTACTGATACAACGGTGAAGACAACAAAAGCAGCCAATATATCTGTTGTCGGTGGAGACGACGCACATGAAAGCCCAGTCAATTGTTCGAATTCCACCAAAGAGAAACGTAAAGGTTGGCCACCATAGACAAAACACAATGCATCACTGTGAGGAGTACAAAGTTGTCTACATAACATTTGATGGACTAACTGGCCAGATAAGGAGCAATATCGAACATGCAACGAGAAAAGTTTACCAAGGGGAGATGCCAACAACGTCTGTAGCTCAGGCAAGCCAGCTAGGATATCTAAAATGTCTACTAGGTAACGTGGTCTTGAATATGAGTTAATACGAACTACGTGACCTGGATAACAATCAACATCAAATATCCTTTGAGGTAGGTCCCCTGAGAAAAATAACGACAGCATAAAGTTAGGAAAGTCTTCAAACAAATATTATTTTTAAAGCAATCGCACACGTTGACAATAAGACAAATACAGATAGAGAAGATGGAAGATGACATATAAAGTAGATAAAAAACATAAAAGATGGTGTAAGAATAAGTTAACTGCAACAGACTAATTGAACATTCAATTGAGTAAGTAACCATACATATGAAGTAGATAAAAGACAGAGAAGATGGTGAAAGAATAAGTTAAGTAAACCCTAAGGAGAACATACTGATGGAAGCCAAGCAAAATGAAATAAGTAACGAACATATGAACCAGATAGAAGAGTTTGAAGATGGTGAAAGAATAAGTTAACTAAACCCTAAGGGCAACATGTAGATTCAACCCAAGCACACCACCATAAAAAGTTAGTAAAGTCTGCTTATTGAAAAGCAAAACAGACATATTGAGAACAGCTTTTGAACTACATAAAAGACAGAACACATGGTGAAATAATAAGTTAACTACACCTTAAGGGGAGCAGACTGCAACCCATATACAACACAGAACATATGGTGAAAGATTAAGTTAACTAAACCCTAAGAGGAACATACTGATAGAAGCCAAGCAAAATGAAATAAGTAATGAACCAGATAGAATTGTTTGAAGATGCTGAAAGAATCTGTTAACTAAACCCTAAGGGGAACATGTAGATTCAACCCACTAACAATCACAGAAAAAGTTAGTAAAGTCTGCTTAAAAATAGTTTTGAAAAGCAAACAGACATATTGAGAACGACTTTTGAACTATATACAACACAGAACATATTGTGAAAGAATAAGTTAACTAAACCCTAAGGAGAACAGAGTGGAACCCATATACAACACAGAACATATGGTGAAAGAATAAGTTAACTAAACCCTAAGGAGAACAGAGTGGAACCCATATACAACACAGAACATATGGTGAAAGATTAAGTTAACTAAACCCTAAGAGGAACATACTGATAGAAGCCAAGCAAAATGAAATAAGTAATGAACCAGATAGAATTGTTTGAAGATGCTGAAAGAATCTGTTAACTAAACCCTAAGGGGAACATGTAGATTCAACCCACTAACAATCACAGAAAAAGTTAGTAAAGTCTGCTTAAAAATAGTTTTGAAAAGCAAACAGACATATTGAGAACGACTTTTGAACTATATACAACACAGAACATATTGTGAAAGAATAAGTTAACTAAACCCTAAGGAGAACAGAGTGGAACCCATATACAACACAGAACATATGGTGAAAGAATAAGTTAACTAAACCCTAAGGAGAACAGAGTGGAACCCATATACAACACAGAACATATGGTGAAAGATTAAGTTAACTAAACCCTAAGGGTAATATACTGATGGAACCCAAGCAGGACCAGATAAGTAACCGCAGATATGAACTAGATAAAAGAGAGAACATATGGTGAAAGAAGAGGTACACTAAACCCAAAGGGCAGCAGACTGATGGAACCCAAGCATGATGAGATAAGTAACCAAACATATTGAAATAAAATAAAAGACATAACATATGGTCAAATAAGAGGTTAACTAAACCCTAAGAGCAACATGTGGATTCAACGCAAGCAAGACCAGATAAGTAACCGCACATATGAACTAGATAAAAGAGAGAACATATGGTGAAAGAAGAGGTTTACTAAACCCTAAGGGCAGCAGACTGATGGAACCCAAGCACGATGAGATAAGTAACCGCAGATATGAAGTAGATAAAAGAGAGAACATATGGTGAAAGAAGAGGTTTACTAAACCCAAAGGGCAACAGGTAGATTCAACCCAAGAACAATGAGCTAAGTAACCAAACATATTGAAATAAAATAAAAGACATAACATATGGTGAAAGAAGAGGTTAACTAAACCCTAAGGGCAGCAGACTGATGGAACCCGAGGACGATGAGATTAGTAACCACACATATGAACTAGATAAAAGACAGAACATATGGTCAAATAAGAGGTTAACTAAACCCTAAGAGCAACATGTGGATTCAACCCAAGCAATATGAGATAAGTAACCGAACATATTGAAATAAGATATGTATATTGAACATCAAGTTGAGAAAACCATAGAGAGCAAGCAATCCAGTAAACTCTTTAGGCATTGATTACCTAAACCCTAACGGTAAAGTCAGATGAAAACCGAGAGATACAGTATAACACAAAGGCACAAAGACAACATATAAGAAGCAATTTCATAATACTTTGAAGCGCATGGACTTTGAAATTGAGATAGGTCAACTAAGTAAGCAACAAAATAAGAGAACTACGTCATCAGATAGTAAACCAAGAGGAAGTGTAAGCTTTTACCCGGTGAGGCTGAACTGCTAGATTGAGGAGGAGAGGAAGACATGCTCCCCGATGAAACCTAAAAAGAGGAGAACAGTAAGAAACGGATTTAAGGAACAATATACGGTGCGGGACAACGAAATGAACAAAGGAGATCAGACTGAAGTAAGATTCACCTGCAATTCGAGTAGCAAATCCACAAGTTTCCGATCGAGTAAATGAACAGAGGAGATCGGTTGGGAGTAAGAGTAAGATGAGGTTCAACAAACGAGAGATGTAAGTGAAGATTTCTGGGTACAATTATAGAGAGCAAATATCAGAGGATTGAAATAAAATCGTGTAAAGCAGAGAACAGAAGCAATTACAGGTGAGTTGCATTGATGTGGGATAACGTCATCTATGTCGGAGATGGATAAAAAGCAAATCGTCGGGAAAAGAAAACCGACAATAAGGTGTACAATAACAGAGGCTAAACTTGTAATTGAACAATGCTAACAAATGCCCAATTCTATAAGGACAGAGATAAATGCTTAATTGGACAATACCTTTCCGATTAAATACCGATCCCGTAAATTTCTCATATATATATATATAAGGTTCCACTCTCTCCTTATTGGTGGAAAAACATTTAAGCTCTTCATTTAAAAAAACATATATATATATATATATATATATATATATATAAATGTTTATGATAATCATTCAATACAAAATTTAATTACACCATAAGTTATAAACAAATGGCAAAGAAAATGAAAGGAGTTAATTATATATAAGATTCCACTCTCTCCTTATTGGTGGAAAAACATTTAATCCCTTCATTTAAAAAAAACATATATATAAGTAAATGTTTATGATAATCATTCAATACAAAATTAAATTACACCATAAGTTATAAACAAATGACAAAGAAAATGAAAGAAGTTAATTATATATATATATATATATATATATATATATATAAGGTTTCACTCTCTCTTTATGCTCCATTTTATATATATTTTATTAAAAATTTAATATTTATTTACCAAAAAACACATTTAATCATATACATTAATTCATACTTTAAATCCACACTTACTACTATAATGTAACTGAAAATTATATAAATTTTTATAAGTAAATTGGTTTTTTATTAAATTTCAATTAAACACACTATAAATTATAATTATGACTCCTCTAATTTAATTAATTTAAAAATGTAACTTACATAATTTCTTATCCAATAAATAGCCATTCTCACATCCTCCTCTACCATATCTCATATCTTCATTATTTTCTTTGTTTTTTTTAAAAAAAAGTTCTTGCATGGGGTGAAAACTCAATTAAGATGTCATTGAAAGAGTTTGATTAAATATTTGGTTTAAACTTTTGTTTTCAATTTTATTTATTTTTTGTTTATATGTATTTTTCATTTCTTCATTGTTTTTTAATATTTTTAAATGTAATATATATATATATATATAATAATTTATGGTTATAAGAAAATTATTTTATTGATGGGATTCAAAAATATTGAATTCTGACCATTGCACAATAAGAAAATCAAGTAAAGAAACCATCTTAGATCTTTTACTTTGGATGTTTGTTTCTTTCTCACATATTCATGTATATTTATTTTAATTTCAAAAGTATGTAATTTTTTAACAAAATTATTGTTTGTTATGTAATTACCAAACCAATTTGTAAGACATTATTTTAAGAATAATGATCCTTATATTTAGTTTGTGATTCAACATGTAATAATTTAAAGAACATTATAATTTTTGTTAACTTTGAATTTTATACTTGATTTCCTATCTAAAAAACAATTTAATATTCAATTTTCTATCTATTATATATACTAAATGGATGAAAAATATAACTAAACCTAGAAATATAACTTAAATTAAGAGAAATATGAAAAGAGTTTAAAAAATAAAATTATTTTTTGGGAATTTTTAAGGTTTCACTCTATCCTTATTGGTCCATTTAGCATTTATTTTTTAATTATAATATTTATTTATAATTAAACCAAATATCTAACACATTTAATCATATACTTTAGTTCATACTTGAAATCCACACATTACTACTAAATTGTAACTGAAATTATATAACTTGTGAATTGACTATTTGTTTCCTCCATTAAATTACAATTAACACACTATAAATTATAATTATAACTCCTCTAATTTGATTATTTTAGAAATATAAATTACATCATATTTTATCCTATAAATACTCATTCTTACATCCTCCTCCACCATATTTGATACCCTCAATATTTTCTTTGTTTTATTTTTAATGTTCTTGCATGGGTTGAAAGTTCAATTAAGATATCATTGTAAGAGTTTGATTATATATTTGGTTTAAAATTTTGTTTTCAATTCTATTTTATCTTTGTTTTATGTACTTCTTCATTTCTTCATTGTTTTCTTATACTGTTAAATGTATAATACATATGTATGATAATTTTTTATGGCTATAAGAAAATTACTTTATCGATGAGATTCAAAAATATTGATTTCCGACCATCACACCATAAGAAAATCAAGTAAAAAATCATCTTCATTCTTTTACTTTAGATGTTTGTTTCTTTCTCACATATTCATGTATATTTATTTTATTTTCAAAAGTATGTAATTATTGTAACAAAATATTTTTTTAATATAATTATCATTCCAATTTGTAGGACAATGAAATAAATAAATTTTTATACACAAACAAAGGTAATGTGTATGTATATTTATAAGCTTACACACATATTTGGATAAATTTAAACATTTTTAGTGATTTTTTTGATAAAGTTTGACAAAGGGATAAATTCTCTCAAAACTCAAGTGGTATTTTTGAATGTTAAAAACTCAAGTGGTATTTTTGGAAAATAAACTTCATAATGGTATTTTTGGAAAAATACTTATTTTAGTGGTATTCCAAAAATACCCATTTTAGTGGTATTTAAGATAATTCCCCTTAGTAATATCGATTCAAACGACCAAGTGCTAATAGTTCAATTGGTAAAGATCTCTGGCAAAAGCTTAGAGGTCGCCGGTTCGAGTAGTACTTGGGACGAAACCATATAACATGCTTTGGTTTCGGGCCTGAGGGGATGTATGGGCTTCGGCCCAGAACCTCTTTGATTATTCAAAAAAAAATATCGATTCAAACATATCCCCTCATACAATCCGCATATAAATGTTAATTTTAAAATAAACATAATTTGTAATAATTTATTTCATATGTATTTCGCATAATAATATTAACCCATTTTCAAAATATATATATACACGACATGTTTACATGATAATAAAAATATATTGATGTAGTGGTAAAAGAGTTGCATTGGTATCAATACAACTCGGGTTCAAAACTAACCTCTAACATAGGGGCCGATTGGTTGTGACTTTTAAGGCTTTAAAACAATTTTAAAGTCTTAACAGCTATATTTTTGCCAATCAAGATTTTTTTACTTTTATTTTTTTAAAACCTTTAAAGCCACTTTATTTTTTTCCTTCTTTATTTTCTCTTTATTCTTAAAGGCTCAATATTACGGCTGTAGAAACTTTATAACAAATAAGTTTTAAAATTTTTTTTTTTCTTCTCCCTATAATAATTAGAAACTCTCTATAGATTTATATATATTTTTTTTAAACTTTTTTTTTGTAAATTAATTATCAGCATTTTTTTTCCTTTCTTTTGACATCCACTTTTCTTTATAAATTTAATATTTTTAATATCACGATTGTATTTTCTTATATTATAATAAACTTTATTTATTTGTCACTATGTTACATATGGATAAATACTGATCATTATATATTTATAAAAATTATATATAATAGCAAAAAACAAATTCAATTTTTAACAGTTAAAGTGTCTAGAGCCAAAGTTTCTACTTTCTACAACAAAAGTCTCTACATCAAAAGTTTTTACAGTCACAGTCTCTACAGTCACAAGTAACCGCCGTTACCAATCGGCCCCATAATACCTTTTAAGGAAAAAAATAAATTTGTTGGCAATAAATGTGCATTAAATTTTCTCCAAAAATGCTTGCAAAAATAATATAGTAGATTATTAAATGTCATATTAAGAAAAATCAAAGCATTAAATAGAGAGAAGAGACAACAATTAAAGTGTGTGAAATCATTATGAGCGTTTGTATTTTGTTTGTGTATATTATAAGTTAGAGATTGTAACAAATCTATGCCCATGAAAAATTTTATTATAAAAATGAGAAAAACTTTGCTATTTTTTTTGCTTATCCTCATTTCCTTTGATTGTATAAACTCTTATTTGATGCCTCCTCTTTACAGAAAATTCAATGTCGAGATAGTAAATCAACTTCAATTTCACAAGAAACTAAGGGTTCATTGCAAGAGCAAAACTCATAATTTCCAATCATTTATCTTAATATCGGTGAAAATTTCCAATTTAAATTTACTATCCATCTAAAAACTTTGTACTGGTGTAATTTATGGCAGGTAAGAAATTCATTTTAAGTATTATTATTGAGGAATTTTATCAAGTTGACTTGGAATTTTGGTTTAATTTCTTGCATTTTATGTTATATAATAGGCTTGGTTTTTATAAAACTTTGTTAATTTAGTGTCACTCAATTAAATTTAGTTTCTCACCATAATATATTTTACTTTACTATAAGTTTAATCAATTACTTTAATTTTATTTTTGTGTGTTTAGGGACCAAATTACAAACACTACATGGTTTTTGATGCATTTCGTCCAGACAAAGATTTTATCGATGGTACATGCACTGGAATGCATCCTAATGTGTGTAGATGGACAGCAAAAGAAGAAGGGGTTTATATCCGTAATAAACAATTTCAAGGAGAATATTATATGTTTAAATGGGATGCTCCAACAAAAGCAAGTGAAATAGATCATGTTAGTGCTCCTGAATCTGAATTTGAAATCTAATTTAATCATGATATTATAATCATATTAAACGGGTTTTGTTAAATATTTTAATCAGATCTTATATTATACACAGTTTATAGGAAAAAGTGTAAATATTACATCGGTTAAGTATTTTGGATAATAGTTTTAAATCATGACCAAATATTATAACCATAGTTATTTGCGATGCTAGATATTATGCTTAACATAACTCCTCTAACAATGGTGGACCTAAACATACGAAGCCCAAAAAAAAATTACTAAATGATAATTACAATTAACAAAAATAATAATAATAATAAAAAAAAAGAGTCTTTCTAAATCTTAACGGAAAAAAAGAAAATAGAAAAGAAGAGTTTCGCTTAATCTCTACTCAAATGCGTTGGAATTGAAGATCTACAATTACACAAAGGCGAAACCCTCACACAAGACTATACTACAAAAATTTCCCAATTTCTCTCTTCTGGGTTTCTCTGTATCTCAATCGATCTGGCTTTGACGATGATGAGAGCTTCCTTATAAGTATAAAGATTCGATTTTTATGAACACCCACATAACCATGAAACTCTGGTCATGTTTGAAAATCCAGCAACAATCTCTTCGACCAGTCCTCATCTTCGTAAATCTGGTAGCAAATCTGTTTTCATTGATCCTGGTAAGCCCAGTTTCTTCTTTTCTCAAACAATGCATGATGTGTGGAAAAAAAAAAATCTGATCTTGTAAAGAGATCTATGAACATGGGACTTGTGATTTGTTAAATTTGGGTTCTTTTTGTTGTGTTTAGGTGTAGACGTTTATTTAGGTGTTGGTGGTGGTGTATCAGAAATGGGTGACCTTAAAGGTTCAAGTTCACCACTTCATATTACAACAATGGTTCCTTCTCCAATTTTCCTATGGAGATTTAAGGTTTGTTTTTTGAAAATGATGGTTTTTTATAAGTGTGCTCTGTGAAAGTCATGTGCTTGATTTGATCATTTTTCAGGTTATTTTGTTTCTTTTTTGGGCTCTGTGTTGCTGCAAGGTGAGTTCTTTTGGTGTATGTTTTATATTTCTGAAGATTGTATCTTGTTTGAGGGGAGGATGATGATTGTATCTTGTTTGAACAGATTGGATGGGATTCAGTTATGAGAATGAGTATTGATCTCCGGGATTTGTTTTTGTATGAAGCTTTTCTTTATTACAACCCTCTTCTTCTTGTGGTGAGTTCAGAGAGTCTTTATACTCTCTTTTGGCCTTTTGTTAGCTTTTTTTCTTTCTCATCTGAGTATATGTCTGGTTTTGTGGCGTTTGAATACTTCAGACTATGATGGTTTGGCTATGGGGAGTGAATTTATGGGTGTTCTCTCAAGGAAGTGTCAATTATGCCAAAGTCTTTGATCTTGACCATAACCACCTTACTCATAGAGAGATGTGGAAGGTATTTAAGTTCATATCAAGTGTTTTTGTTTTTTTTTCCGGTTTTGTCAATATGAAGAAGAAGATTGCTTCTATAATAGTTAGACACACTTCTCTGTTTCCGTATTGTTCTCAGTTAGTGTCTGGATCTTGTTGTTTCTCTATTGTGTAATATTTGGCTGCAGTGTAGCATGTGGATGACAATCATTGTGCCAACTAGCATGACAGCGTATCTATATTTGTATTCTCATGGGGAAGTATCTTTGGCAGCTTCACAACCGGTTAGCTTTATGTCCTTCTTCTAATCGTTATTGGAAATGTTATGCTTATTGCTTTTCTCTGTTACCTCTTTGTTGCATGCCAGATAAATCTGCTAAGGTATGTCTAAGTTGTGTGTTGTCACTGATGCAGGTGCTCCTGTACATTGCTTTTGCTTTGGTTCTGATATTTCCGTTCGATATTTTCTACTTGTCATCTCGATATTTCCTGCTGAGAACATTATGGAGGATAGCTTTTCCACTGCAGGTAAAGTGATAAAAGCTGTTGATTGAAATTAAACTTGCGATTGACAAATCTCTAGGTTTTAATTATAAGAGTCATGCTTGATCAATGTCGTGTGGATATTTTTTCTTCAAAATCTTACATTATACTGGACATTTTGTATAAATTCCTTTAAGCCTGGATATCTGACACGAGTCTATTTGTTTCACAGCCAATTACATTTCCAGACTTCTTTTTGGCAGATATTCTGACCTCCATGGTAAAGGTATGAAATTTCAAATAGTTCTGCGAAAGAGCTTCCTTACTTACTAATAATTATGATTTCTTTGATAATGGACTACAAGTGGAATTGGTTCCACATCTCTTTGGCACTTTAATTTGTACCTATTGTGCTGCTGATACTTGATTCTCATTCATGATTGACATTGGTAACTATATGCAGGTATTTTCCGACTTAGAGCGCTCCGTCTGCCGAATGGTGCACAGACAGGTAATTGGTTTACTCAGTCTATTCATTATTTGTGACATATAATATAGATTAGAAATTTCTTAGGCTGGAGGAACTAGTTCCATTCTTTTGTATAATCTGGAACAAATAGATTCAATCTGTAGCTATGGAATATTTACCCTAAAGACTGCCAAACACTTGGATATGATTTATCAGCCAAATATTCTCTATCTTAGTTTTGCTGATGAACCAATTGAATCCTGGTTGTGTCTGTCTGACCTACACGGGTTTCATACTGTGTTATTTGCTGTGAAATGTTGAGACAATATGACGTTAAAGAGGTTTCCTGGACGTTCAGGTCGCAACAATTGCTTGGTTTGAAGCTGATGCTGTCTGTGGGAGTCATCAAATTGCAATTCCATTGGTTCTTGTTTTCCCCTACATTTGCCGTCTTTTGCAATGTCTTCGACAATACAAAGATACAAAGGAAAAATCATCTCTTTTAAATGGTAAAAGCCTAACCTATAAGCATTGTTGTTAAATTGTCCCATATATTTTCTTATCCTGTCATCAATCTTATATATGATCCATGAAACTTTTTCCAGCTCTGAAGTACTCAACAGCAGTGCCTGTGATCTTCCTTTCTGCGCTTAAATATCATGTGATGGCCGATAGCTGGACATCCTTTTACCGACCACTCTGGCTTTTCTCAAGTGTCATCAACTCACTTTACTCATTTTACTGGGATGTAACTCGAGATTGGGACTTAAGGTAATAGGATGAAACTTCACCTTCTGATCCAATAAACAGTATTTGCAATTATAACATAACTTATATCTGTTATGCAGCGGTTTCACAAAGATATTCAAGTTTAGCCGTCCAAGTGCCATATCAAATCTCTTATATGGCCGGCAATGGGTGAGACTCAGCTTCCATTAAAACCGCCTTCTGTTTTCTTCGTATTGCGATATCTGAAACTATCAACATATTACGAGGTTGCAGGTGTATTTCTGGGTGATAGGGAGCAATCTGGTACTGAGATGCGCATGGACATACAAATTATCAGCACATTTGAGGCACAACTACATAACAGTGTTCACAATTACAGCCATGGAGATGTTTAGACGCTTTCAGTGGGTATTTTTCAGAGTAGAGAATGAATGGAACAAGATCACCAAATCACATCCAATGGGTGAGATTTCACTTGAAGAAGACAAACTACTTGGTTCTACTACACCTCATGATGTTTAGCATCACCCACCTTTTTTGTTTATTTCCTCTAATCCTATGCAAATTTCTTGTTTTCCTACTCGTCTACTCAACTCTTATAGACACTTTTAGAAAACATTATACACAATTTTTCATGAATTAAACCAAATTCAATGAATTATAGATTAATGGGTAACTAGTTTTGAGTGATGACATCAAATCATGTAACTAAACTTGTTCTAGTGTATTAGGAGTGGGCAATGCTCATTTCAGGTAAAAGGTTAGGTAAGAACAATTATGTTAACACATCTTAACTCTATAATTAGAGTTTTGCATTATTGTTTTGGTTGTTAAATACAAGTGGATGGTATGGTTGAAGTGCTTAATCAAACTTTTTGATATAATTGGATGTTAGAGTAAATAATAGAGGGAGAACAATGGAATTTATCCCTACCACAATGTCTCTTTTGTTATTAAAACAAGAAAAATAAAACTATAGGGTAAAGAAAAAATTAAATATTAGATAGCTAGATGATAAAGAGAGTAGCACTAATAATGAAAAGCAAATTCCAAGTTGCCAACTTGCAAAATCAATCTTTCACATACAACACAAATATAAAAGAAAAGCCCATACGGTTCCTTCCTCTCTTCAAAGTTGCCTTATTATATCATCCAACTCAAGAAAACAACAAACTAAAAGAGAGAGTAAAGCAAAAAACAAAAAAAAAAACAAGAAAATCAAGATCAGAGGTAGTAGAGATGACACAGATGCTTTCTGTAATCCGTCGTAACCTTCAAAACCTTCGCAAGAGCCCTCGCGTAGCGGACGAGACTGACTTGCAGCCTTCCACTGCAGGGTCCGGACAGGGAGGTGGAGGTGGAGGTGGAGGAGGAGTTGTAACTCATGGAAGACGAGACGGTTTTAATGCGGTGATCATGCGGTTTCCTTTCTCGATCATCTCTTGCTTCGCGGTACCGAGTGTTAATGGGACTGATGGACTATGGATGTCCGGAGATTATGGTAGTGTCTCGGAGGTTAACAATCTTATGGTTAGTGATGGCATGAGATATGCCATTTTAATGTAATTTTTAACCAAATATGTTTATTATTTTTACCTTCTTTTTTTTTCGTACGTCTCTCTACAAATATAATTAATTAATCTTATGATCAGTCTTGCTAGTGTGTGTTAAATATATGAGATGTAGAACAAGTTTTGTTCTTGTATAGATATATAGATGAAGATTTTGTAATTTGTAGCATGCTTCTTATTTTTATTTTCCCCACTTTTTTCTCTTTAATCAATTATAATTTCTACCCCATTTTCTCCTTAAAACAATTCTTAACTAAAACCTAACTTTTTCAATCTCTAAATTGAAAATATTATTCCATTCCCATAAGCAGAAATTTGTTTGCGGATTATACTGATTTTTAATTATTATTCAGAAGTTATGTTCATATTGATGCGGATTCAACAAAATAAAAGAAATTGTTGCGCACCAACCACTAACCGGTTTTACTTACAAATAGAGTTGTTCTGCAGCAGTTTTTGTCTGTCCTAAAAATTGAGTAAATTAAACTGCTGAGACCACGGTAACCATTCACACTTACCCTTAGTATGCTGATCAAAGTAAAACAACATCATTATATGAATCACTTTAATATGTTTTAAAAAGTTGAAATATTTTTGAGAATGGTAAAAATGATTTTTTGATTTGATAAACTAAGATCTTCAAAAGGCGAATTCAGATTCCATGCGAGCAATGACAGAATAGTTTACTATGTTAACGAATAATTTACTTTATGATCTAACCTTAGTGGATGGATGGTAGTCACACTTTCAATATATATTTGGTCCCCTATCACCTTTTGTTGCTATCTCTTTGTAACATCAATGGAATATGTTCTTCATAAGCTAATCTTTTTGAGTTATAATCTTTCCTTCTTAGTGAATTGGATGCTGTACATATATTCTAACTATTACTTTGATAGATCATGCACGATTTTATCTTTTTGGATTCATCAATAACGAATCAAAATTTTCAAATTTTATATAGTAATAAAGTATATATACCAAAGAAAATCGTTGTATCGTCTCCCTATATACAAGTGTGTACATATAAATAAAGGTTCGGAATGAAGACGGAACCAAACAGTGCGTGTGGTTCTAATATTACGAAAGCATTGACATATGCATATATTTTCGTTACTATTAGAACTGTATTGCCGTACTTGTCTCGCAATTGTTTCAGTACGTTACTATTAATTAGGATCAATAATGCTATTTCGGGTCGATGGTTTCTTGTGCTTTGTACAAAACCCTCTACAGATCTACAAAAAGTAGATGTGTAGATACATTTATCTATGGAAAGGCAAGATATCAAGTATAAAACAAATACGTTGAGGTCTCCAAACACCGGATTTCGAGTAAGAGTCCAAAACCACACGAAAGAAAGACAAGCTTAAGCTGCGCCGGGCCAAACACCGATGATATTTATTACATTGTGGGCTTCCAACCTAAAACCAATTAACAATGAGTGGAGAGACCCATGTATCTTATATACTAGTCAGGATCTTACTCAATTTCCAATGTGGGATATTTATCCCTAATAATATTATGTGATCTTTCGGACTATTGTTATTTGATTAATCACGAATCTATTTCTCGTTTTTCTCATCTTTCATTTTTAGTAGATTTGCACCTTGTGATTATTGGTATATTTTTACACATTAACCACCGAAACCTAGTGGCAAAGGAAGAAAGTGCTATTAGAGTTTAGTAGCAGCTCTTGAAAGGAAGTAGCTAGTGAGAAGCATTTTAAGGAGAGGATAATGTAGATATAGTTGAAGAATATAGCAAGTTCATTACAAAAATGACATAGTATTATGGTAGTTTATCGATTTCTCTTTGGAAAAGTGTGGTAGTAAGTGCGAAGTACAATCGCTTCCATATCATATTGTGAGTTGAATTTACTAGCGATGTGATAGATGATAATTTTAAAGTGATGACACTCACTGGATTGAGATATATAACTTTAATGATTTGAAAAGAAGTAGGATTGGTAGAAAGATTTTGTGTGAATGCTTGGACTGTTAAGTATTGTTACTTATCTTTTTGTAAGAACGATGTTTCTCTTAAATAGTAAATGGAGAGGTGATCGCGACTTTAACTTGGTTAGAGTGTGAGAGACCAACCAAGCACCTTTGGAGGGAGTGTTAGCAATCGCATAAGAAGATCGATGAGACTAGCTAGGGATTAAACCTTTTAATCCAACTCTTGAAACGTCTAATCAGTAGCTATCGATTACTGAAGATTAAAATTGAAGATTCAAGATGTGAAGTAATTAGTATAAGTGGTTCACCGTTCATGACACTATAACACTATAACACTAGAACATAGTCTACAGTTTTTACTAAATTAGATGAGAAAATGTCCGAAGATGTATGTAAACAACCATATAAAAGATTAATAACTCCATAGATTAATATATCTATAACACAATGAATAAAATCGCATAAATACATACATACAAGAGCCTACAAGATATCAAATGAAAAAAGAATCCAAAACTGCGTAGAAGTATAACAAACCAAAACAAGTATAGAAACAATAAGTGAAACTAGGCGTCTTGGTGATGTGGTCCGGTACTAGTAGTAGTACCATTGGAATACTTGTTCGAAGTCGGTGCAGCAACCGTGTTACCTCCACGGTTCTTACGACGAAGAACGATAAACCAAGTAAGTGGCTCAAGAATAAGAACACAAGCACCAAGAAAGATCAAGATTCCAATATAAGCCCAACGCCACTTATCAGCCGGGTCCAAAATGTCTAGTCCTTTGAAAATATTGATAATGGAGAGTATGATGGTAGTGTATCCAACGCTGTGATGGTACACGTTCCAATATCTTCGAAATTTGTGGTCAGGCTTTGGCCTTAGAAGGAGAGCAAATACTTGAAGTGTTGCAAATGTGAAGAGTGCTATTCCAAGGTTACGATGTGTTGAGTAAGATGTGCCTGGTGAGTCATTGCCTAGCTTTATTCCGGTAGCCCAACCGGCTACACCGATGGCGTAACCGGAGACTTGGAAGGCTATATGGAGATAGAACCATGTTGGATCGGCGAAGACTTTCATGTACCGAGCCATCATTGCTCCTAATGGCATTAGTACTCCCCAGCTCACCGCGTTTAGTATTCCATGAGTCTGTTTTATGCAAGTTTACAAATGTTTAGTTTACTTTTACATAGAGTAATAAATTTATATTCCAACAAATAACATAAATAATTGTAACGACGTCATTTATTCTCTTATCAACCACACATTAATTAGAATAAATCTACGAAGTTTAAACAATCAAAACATTTCTTATTTTAATTTTGACGGGTTTTTCATGTTTTCTATTTTTATGTAGAAGAATCATTATAAAAATTTCTAAAAGTTGGTCAAATAAATTAGCTCAGTATTTTTTATGAATTTCTACAAAAAAAAAAAAGATTTTTCAAATATTAATGTTGATTATGGAAGTGGAGACATTATTTTTGAGTTTGGTCGAAAGTGAAACCGTGACAGAGAAGTCCACTATATCTTATTTTTCAAAGTTAAAAAAACCTAACAAATTTGACTAAATTTACAGAAAAAAACTAATTTTTTTTTTATCACTTTACTATTACTAGATATGAAAAATATACCATTTAACAAAATACATACTAGATGCTTCTATTCAAAATTATTAATTAATAAAACAATGAATGTTTCGTTTTGTCATCATTTCATTTTCAATATGTTGAGAAAACACGTCAATATCTATTTGTCTTATTGAAGCAAAAATATCATCTCACTAAGTTTGTCATCCACACGTCAATATTTATTAAAATTATTAAAAGCAACACTTTAGAATCTTAGATATTTTTCAAATTTTCATTGGAAACTTCTCCAAAATTTTAATTTTTCTAGAAAGTATTTTCAAAAAAAATTAACGTTCCATAATAAATACTAAAAGTATTTTTTTTTTTAATCGTTTCATATGAATTTAGTAACTCTTAAAACCTTAAAATTTGTGGAAATATTTAGAAATTTTTTAATTAGTCTTAAGAGATAGAGTTGGACTTACATTTCTCTTGGTTAGCCTATCACCAGAACCACCACCAGCCGTTGACTGACCAGTCCTGAAATCAATCCTACCCATAGATCTCATATTGTCCCCTGACCTTGAATGAATCATAGGAACACCATTAGTAACAGGACCAACCTGCCAAAGCTGATTAGCCGTGATCAGATTCGCCGGCAACTCAAGAGTTGCGAATATGGTCGCCTCGCCATTAACTAGAGTAGCCGAGACGCGGCTCACACGGAAGCTAAGGCTTCCGCGTTCGAGCTGCGTAGTGTAAGAATTCACAGAAGAGGTATAGGCTTGGAACTGGCCACTTGAATTGGTGAAAGCAACAAGAGCTTGTGTCCCAACCATTTGTGTCCCACTTGGGTTAAGTCCCCAAGCAATCCAAGAAGAAGTGGTCGTTCCAGGGTGACGAAAGGCGATCGAAACGGTGCCGTTTGCTTCGTTGTAAGTCCAGTGGAGGAAAGAGCCTAAGGCTTGGAGAGGAGAGCAAGTTGTGAAGGCTAAGTTGTTTTCGAACCTGTGGGTGTTACAACCTGACTGACCATTCACGGTTAAGACAAGAAGTGTTGCCAACACGGCGAACAGAGTTATCTTTGGTTCCATGTCTTTGTGTGTTCTGTCTTGAAATGTTGTTGGGGTGAGATTTGAGAGGTATGGGTTATGTTTTAAAGATATATTTATAGGGAAAAAGCAAAACGCGGATGCTTTTTAAAGGCTACGCAAGTCGGAAGCTGTTCTTTGTTGACTATTTTTTTGCCCATTTCGTACCTTTTCTCTCTTTTTCACATACATATGTGTGACGTAAGGATAACACTCATATTTGTCAAATTTGAGGGTTTCGTTTATTGAATAAACATATGAATATGAATATTAGTTATTAGAAACAAATCCCCATATTCCTGTAAAACAAAAGTGACTACGTTATAGATATAGTAAATAAGAAGAGACCGGTTCTAGCTTATATGTTACACAACTTGCATACACTTTTAAGGTTTTTTAAGGGTGGTGCCTGGTTGATGCGGTTGCAGAAGCATACCGTAGCGTTATTAAACGTTTTGAACGATCAAATTAGCATTTAGGAGATAGTGTATTTGTACGATTAATTGGTTGATCAGCGGATACAATAGCAGTTAAACAAAAATTTACTAAAACAAATTTTGATTATAATTGCAAGAAGATATATAAATATAGAAAAAGTATGAACATCCAAATTTATATTTATGAAAACTATAAATAAATTAAACATGACTATTGTTAAAAAAATATAAATAGTTATTCAAATAGTAAACAAATAAATTACATATATTTTTAATTTTTTATATTAGATAACTTGATAATATATGTTTTAGTTTGTTGATTTTGTAAGACATGAGAATATATGTTTTAATGTTATTTTTCTCTTTTTTTTAGTCAATCGCAACTGTAAACATTTATAGAAAAAACTTTTAATATCTAGTGTTTCGAGAAATCAAAACGGTATGAAGAAATTTCTATTCTTGGTATCGACCTCTAAGACTCTAACAACCACAATCACCCGCAAACGCATCATCTGCTGCAACTATGCAAGAAAGAACCAATCAACCCTTTAATCACTATTTTGAGATGAATATTTCAAACCACATGGGACGTCGGCTCACTTATGAGTATTGCAAGAGTTTCTAAAATGTTGTAAATGGTTGAATCCGATTAATATTGTTATTTAAAGAAAAACGTTGTATTGATCTTACTATATATAAATATAATGTAATTTTAAATAACGTACCACACGAAATTGACTCACTATATTTTTGTTATATTGTAATATTAGTGGAATGTTGTATATACATTAAGAAATCGTTCTGATACGTACAACACATTTTGTAATCGTCAGTATGACAAAAGTTGACGAGGTCAATTTCTCAAAGAAAAAAGGAACACAAGAGAGAAAATGTTAAAACATGATTATGAAATTTTTAAATTAATATAATTACGGTGGATTAGGTAGTAGATTAGTTGAAAGTCATCGTCAAATTCACATTCACGAGTCTGTGAATAGTGATTTTTGTTGATAGTAAATTAAATAAAATCTCATATTGGGATTTTGTTATTAATTTATATAAACTAAAGATTACTCGTTCGTTGGTATGGAGAAAATGATAGTCAAATGTCTCGCAGTACTCCATGCGTTCACATGTGGCCTTTGTTTCCTTTTTATAAATTGTTAAAATGAAATTAGTGATGTGTGAACACTTGTTAATCATATATATATATATATATATATATATATATATATATATATATAGATTAGTCTTCAAACTTAAGGAGGCTTGAGGATTCTATTGGTGACAACGAATAATACAGTGCATAGTTTTTAACGTAAACAATCTTTTTTTTTTTAATAATACGTATACAACATAACAAATAAAGAGAACATTATTTTTTCGGTTTTTTAAATATTTTATCTATATAATTAATTACAACGAAAGAAACACATATAATATATTAGTATTCCCAAAATATATTATATTGTGTGATTGATATGCACAATGTAGTAGTATGGAATATAATATAAATTATTCAGAATTTAATTTAAGATGAAAACCGCGCTATACCGCATGGTGTGTTTAACGCACGATTTTATAAAATTAAAAGTATAGTCTCTTTTTTCATGTTAACTCATAATTCTTTGTGGAAGATCTCCTCGATTCTAAGAGATTTGTCTATTTATTCATATATTTTCTAAAATCACAAAAATTGTGGACTACTTCCTGAAGTTTATAAGTTATAACTAAACTATATCTTTATCTCTTCAATTATAAGTTCTCCAACTAATTGAATCATGTAGTTATATAGTTTGACTTCAAACTTTGGAAAGATAGTACCATGTTATTCAAAGATTATTATTGGCCGTACGTGTTAATGTAGTTAGTCTCATTCATAGCAAATCCTTTTGTCCCGTGAACTTGTTTCTGCCAATATGTTCCAAGAACATCTTATGTGTTTACACATTGGTCTTGTTCTCTTGCATGTTTGTCCTTGAGTTGTGATTTGTCAATCACTTGTATTTTGGTCTAATAAACCTATATATATGACTAGAAGTTTTCTTTTTTTAGTTAAATATAATTGGATACAGTCGATATTTTTTAGTTCAACGGTGGTTGCAATCTCGAAGTTAACTTCCCGATATTTTTAATTTCTTTTTTCAGTTTCATCTCTAAAAATCCGATGAACTAGTTGTACAAACGTTATTTTTTCTTTGAATATAATTTAACATTAGATTCAAAAAGAAAATAAATTGGATGCAGTCGGTATTTTAGTAAGGGGATTGCGAACAACTTGTTAAAACCTTAAATGGTCATAGTTGTAACATTTCGACAGATGGTATTTATCATGATATTATTCATTGAGCTTCATGGTTTCAGCATGTTGAGTTTGTTTTTGTTTTAAAGCATTGTAATAGAGTAGCACATTTTTTAGCTAAATATGGTTATGTAACATCGAGTTTTTTTTAATATATTTTGATTTCTTTGCTTCGCCAAGTTGACTTTCAAATAAGTTGCATCATCAGTTTATAAATTCAAAAATAAAATCATATTTTGCAGAAATTTATTGTTAATAAAACTGTAAGTAGTATTTTTAAAAGACTTTGAGGACAAGTGACTAAAAAGAATAAAAAGACATTTACACAAATGATGAAAGATCTCCCCAGAGGAAGATGGAAAGCACTTTCGTATGAACCAAAGTCAGGAGTGTACAAAACGACGCCGTTAAAGTGACGCTTAAACACCAAACCCAAAGAATAAACATTCCTTCTAGAAGATGAACTTATTATAACTTTTACTTTATGATATAGACGTTATTTAATTGAATAAAGTTCCTTAAATCATTTCTAAGCTTTTTTTTTTTTTTTGGTAATAATCCCTCGTTTCTGGATAAATGATATTTTAGCTTTGTTTTTTTTTCTTGTCCACAACTTTTTTTTTTCTCTAAAATAATTAGTTTTCTTACAAATCTATACAAAACTAATTAGATTTTTATAAGTTTTAATAATTTTATATTATACACATTGTTTTTCATTGGTTGAGTTGTATTTTGATAAATGTTAAATTATCTATTTATTTAAAATAAATAAAAATTAAATAATCTTATAACTAGTATAAAAAATTCATTTTTTCACCGAAATATCGTGCGTTGTTATCTAAGATCGGACAAGTAATACGGGTGAAGCGGAAGGTCTCTTTCCACCTTTCTTCACCGAAATCTAATTTATTGGCTAGGGAGATTGCTTGCAACGTTACACGAGATGGCTTGCAGCGTTACACGAGATGGCTTGCAGCGTTACACGAGATGGCTGGCTTACTTCGTACTTGGCTCTTGGTGGTTTGTCTTGGCTTCATGACCGGATCGAAAGGGACAAACGCCATGGTGTTTAATTCTTGGTTTCTTTTTCTTTGCGGTTTATATTTCCATTTCGTGGCTTATTTTGTTGTTCTGCACACTTATTTTCTAATAATATTGAACAATTCAGCGTTAAGAAAAAAAATCATTTAAAAACAAAGGATAATGTATGATTTAAGCCAAATAGCCAAGTAAAGTGATTTGTAACCTAGCAATCTTCACAAAACCAAGTGGTGAAATTAGCCAAATTACCATTTACTAATCAGCTAAACAAAAATACTTTTATTCACAATACAATACATTTTTTTTTCCTATTGGGTGAATTTACAACTACAGGGTTTGGTGAAGAGTTGACTCTTAAAGGTCTTTCAACCTCATTACCAAAAAAAAAGGTCTTTCAACCTTATTTTATACGAATTTGGAATATAATATTTTCTGAATATTATTTGTAAAGAAAATTATCAAACAAAAAAGAAGAAAGAATTAAGTTCTTCACCTAGAATAACGATTCTCTTAAGACCAATATATAAAAAAAAGAGTAAAATAAAGGGTTTTGACAAAATAACCAAAAGACAAAAAAAATTTGTTGGTGATTCCACAAAGAGACGCGTCGTCAATCTTGCCGTCTTAATATGTGCATTCAAACGTTCATAGGTCTCTGAGTCTCTCTATCTCTAGTCTCTATGCATATTAGACTTTGTTCTCTTGATAGGGTTTGGTGACCCATAAATGAACTCGAGAAACTTAGTCCAAGTCAACCTGAATACAAACAGATCACCTGTGAGGTTAAGAAATCATATTATTAGTTTACTACTATAGTTTACTCATTTATTTTTTTGCTTGCAACAATAGTTTTGAATGCGGAAACCATATTTAGCTGAACAGACCAAGCGGATCATGCATATCTAGCGTTACAAATGCAGATCAAATATTTATATAATTTTTAGATAAATTAATATTAAATTAAACAAAATAAAAGACTGAACTCACCACAAACACTCCTAAATGAGTATGGGTAGACTGCTCTGTTTTATTTTGGAAAAAAACACGAAGAAGAAAAAGTTTTCCCGTTTTTTTTAAGCAGTACAGAAAAGTATACATATATACTGCTTTAGCAAATTAACTGTTTTTGTACTGTGGTCCCATTCAGAACCAAAGTATCCTCCAAAATAAGTGTGGGCCAAATACCCGTTAGATTCACTCCGATCTGTTATTTGATTCAATTCGATTCGAAAAATCCGAATATTCGTAACTTTATGAAGCAAATCATGTATGCCATTAATTTTTATACGCTTTGAGTTTTTACCGTATTTTTAAGTCAGAATATCGTCAAATCTTACAAATATGCTATTTTATTATAGTTTTACGAATAATCTACTTTTAAACACTTTTTTTTTGTTTTGCTATACATATTCTTAACAAATATTAAACTCCAAAAAAATAAACGAAATCGACTAAATCCAAACGACCAAAAATAACGGATAAAACGCATAAATTTAATCGTATATTTATACTCTTAAAATTTGATAAATGAATTCACACATCTTTGGTCTGGTCTACCAATGTATATGTCGTAGTATGGTTCACCCTCAGTCATTGGTTTGATGTTGTGAATTATGGATACTGATGGTGTAAATCTGATTCTCTTACATAATGTGGTGAGAACAGAGCCCACAGAAAGCTAAACAACTCATTACTTGTTTAAGTGCTGATTAAAATCAATAAGTACAAGGCAGGGAGTATTATGAATAGACTCTATTGTATAGTTTTGTTGTTCAGGCGGCACAGATTAGTTTCCATACAATGTGTAATTATGTATTAACCACATTATCATATAATGTAACAGTGTATTTACCACAACTAGAGGAGAGCTTGTAAGACAAGATTGATGGAAGCAGGTTGTATTGAAGAAAATTTATCAAAGACTCAAGAGTATTGAGAGAGCAGTTTCTGAGTGAAGCAGAGTATATAGATAACATTACAAAGGAAAAATGTATAAATGCAGAATCATAGCTTTTCATCTTGTCTTTGCTGTCTCATTTGAATCAGGGGTTATACTCATAGTGGCAAGAACCATGACCTGTAACAATCATATCTCAATCAGGGATTATTCACTATCTACTAAGATCAAAGTGATACAGAGAAGGAGAGAGAGCTTACTAGGGTCAAGCTCAGTAATCATAGCAGCACCTTTGAAGTAACAAGAACCACCTTTGTGCTTATAACTTTGGTAATAACTGTTAAAGGCAAAGGAGGCATGATCCCTGATTGTGTTTGGCAAGAAGCAAGGCTGGTTTTCCTGCTGCATTTTGCTACAGTCAGCTCCACCGCTACCGCAAGCCCACTCTAGAGCTGCCTGCAACTCGTCGTCTGGTGTTTGTTCATCCGCTACACACCATTGTTCCGATTCTGCCACTGTTTATACATACACTCACATACACATTAAAAGCCTAAAAAAGAACATAGTGTGAACATTGCAGTGATAGTTTTACCTGAACGTTGAGGAAATGTCATTGCTATGACTAGCAAAGGAAGAAGTATCCTTATCAAGAAAGTTGACATATTGAGTGGTACAGAGAGATCTAGATCTGATCTAATTGAGAAGTATGAGAGCTAAAAAATGAGTGCAACTTGACCCCTTTATACTAGTTAGAAAGAATCAGTACTCCAAAAGTTCAAGATCTAGGATAAGGGAATCTTGGTTTGCTTCAGATGCAATCATGTGCCAGATCTGCATTTAACTGGTTTTGAGGAAGATTTTGTTCTGCTTCTGGAAGCTTTTCAGAACACAGTCATTTATACACTTCCTACTACACAACATACAAGCTGTTTTAGAGTTAAGAGGAGAGAGTTTGGTTTTATATGAATGAATATAATTGAGCTATACATCAGAAATCTACTATACACACAGGCAGATATATCAAAGATGACAAACTGTCTATACAAAGAGAGAGACTGCGGCTTTCCCAGTTTCTTCTCATACTCAACCAGACGAGGAGGTCTATAAGGGAAAGAGACCTGTGAAGGACAATGAATAATTGTCTGGTTCTTGCCTTGACCTCAAGTTGAATTGCAGGGTCATGGATGTTCAAGATATACTACCCGACGTCAAAAAGCTCTCGGGTTGATATATAATCCTAAAAGGGAATGGCTTTTTCAGTCTTCCTTTTAACATGGTTCAAAGAATCTTGCTACCGCTGTGTAGAGCACTTCCTCTTCAAACGGTTTTGATACATAACCATCCATGCCACATTTCATGCATTCTTCGTGAGTAGCCTGTATAACATCAGCTGTCATTGCTAATATTGGGACGTGCCAACTACTAGATTTACATAACAATTCAGCAGATGCTTCTCCAGAAGCTATCTTCTTGTTGATTTCCCACTCCAGATCACGGACTCTCCTCGTTGCTTCGAATCTGCACAAAAATCATAAAATTACCAGGGACTCCATTCAAGAAATCAATAAGCTGAAGGGACAAGATTGAAAAATAGTTAGCTACCCATCCATTTCAGGCATCTGGAGATCCATGAAGCAAGCCTCAAAGTTGTGAGGCGGCTTAAGCATTTCCAATGCAGCCTTGCCACTCTCAACACATGTAACTATAGCTCCATATTTCTTAAGTGCACCTTCGGCAACTCGTCTGTTCACCAGATTGTCGTCCACAACCAGAATCTGCTTTTCTCTGAGCAAGTGTCCAAGATTTCTTCGCTTTCTGTTTGGTTGCCTCTTCTTGCCATTGACAAGTGTTTCTTGAAAGCAACATATTAAGACACTCATCCGAAGAGGCTTTATTACCACCTCATCAATGAGACCAGAAGACTTCATCTCACTGCGCTCAGTAAGAGTTGCAGAAGTTGCCAAAAGTATAATCTTTGGGACTCTTGTAAAGGTTATTTTGCTAAAGGTTAACAACTTGTCTAGTGCTGCAAAGTCTTTCTTGTTCCAGGCGTCTTTGTCAATTAGAACCATAGCCAAATTGTCTAATTTGCTGCAAAGACTCCAGAAAAAATTGAAAGCTTTTAGTGAAGTAAGTATAATCTCTACAAATGCTAGTCTTTTCTATCTTGGAATGCAATGACAGTAACAGTTATACAGCTATCTTGCAATGGACAATACAATTTATTCCATATGAAAAAAGCAAAGCAGTTGGAAGAGTAAAGAAGACACTAGTGCATGTAAAGTACCTGACACTGGTGCATGCCAATCTAAGACTCGATACAATGTCTGCAGATATTCCCAGTCTCTGAAGATGGTAACTAGTCACCTCAGCTCGAATGTTTCTGTTATCAATAACTAATGCTCTCAATCCTTTAAAATCTTGAATAGCTAGATCGAATCGTTCCAACTTAGTAACCGATGAACTAGTTTCTGCCTTCCCGAAAACTCCAGTAAATGAAAAAGTACTGCCTGTCCCGGGCTCACTCACAAACCCCATCTCTCCTTGCATGAGTTCAACTAAACGCTTGCTTATGCTTAAACCTATGCCGGTCCCACCATAAGTCCGCGAGGTGGAACTGTCAGCTTGCATAAAAGGCGTGAATATTCGTCCTTGTGCATCCACAGGTATGCCCACTCCTGTGTCCTCCACTGTAACTAGCAACTTGATTTTATCAGAATTATGATTCTCAGTACTGTAAAATGTCTTGAAGTTCTTCCAGCTTCCACATGCATTTACAGCAGGAAACCCGCTAACTGTCTCCCCGGACTCACTGCATCCTAAAGCTAATCTCTGTTTGAGCACTGCATCTTCGATATTAAGAGGCTCCCTCACCTCATCTGCAAGATGCACTGAGATAAATATGTGTCCCCTTTCCTGTGTAAACTGTTATTACAGAAAGAACAAGTGAGTTATGATAAAGAAGTTGCTGTTTTGTAAGATAGAATTAATAATCACCTTGATTGAGTTTCCCACTAGATTTGTAATTATCTGCCGAAACCGACTCGGATCACCAACTACAACATCAGGAACTTGACTAGAAACATAAACAGCCAACTGTAACAAGAAACCAAGATTTTCATTAGATTTGGAATTTTTTAGCTACTTGAAAACATCAAGAAGCGGAAGGTCATCCAGTTTATAGTATACCTCAATTCCTTTTTCATTTGCCTTGCCAGAGAGAAGAGATGAAACGTTATCCAGAATAAAACGCATATCGAAAGGCACATTTTCAAGCTCGAGCCTTCCTGATTCAATCTTTGCCTGATCAAGAACCTCATTTATGAGTGATGTAAGATCCTTCCCACTTCCGTGAGCAGTTTGCGCATAGTCTAGCTGCTTCGCATCAAGATCGGTGTCCATTAGCAGTTTCAGCATTCCTGTAATAACAATGCTTAATATTTTCAGCTGGTTTTTCTGAGAACATGCAATGACAAAGGATCAGTAGAAAAAGTACCTAAAACTCCATTCATAGGAGTTCGTATCTCATGAGAAACAGTTGCTAGGAACTGCAAATAAGAAGCAAGTCAGTGTTTAAACAATTAAAGCATTTCAGTGACAATTCAACTCTTGTTAACAAAAGATAAGAGGTTTCAAGATTTTGAGACTATTTGATTCACAAAACTCACCTGTGACTTTGCAACATCAGCAGCCTCAGCACGAGCTTTGAGTTCCCTCATTTTCTGACAGTCATCTTCAACTGTTGCAATTCGATTGAGGGCTTCATTGAATATATAACCAACAAGAAAAGTAATAACCAGAACTAAGATCGACGGTGTAATGGCTGTCCAAGGAATGGGAAGTTTATGCTTGAACCTATAAATGAGCAATGCCATTTTCATACTTCAGAAAAGACAGAAGTGTAACATATCTAACAAAAATATCACTAGAGTTAGAGCTAACCTGCAGTGCATCTCATGATTCCTTGATGGATCACCAAAATCAAGGCTACTTATGTGCTGTTCACTTATATCCCCAATTTCTGAGCCATACATTTTAATTAGACCTGAGGCATTAGTTGTGTCATAAACATCCACAGCAATTGTCTGTTTGCTGGCAAGTTGGTGTAAAAGTTTCTCCACCAACGATGGCATATCGTATGATGCACCAAGGTACCTATTTAGGTGTATATTGTTATTAGTTACTAGTACAGAGATTAGTCTTTGCACTATTTATTTTAAAAGTAAATGCAGTACCCAATAGTTGCATCAATACGCTGTTCTTCTGTAGCATCAGGCGCTAGGCTCGTGTCATACACAGCAAAGGTCAACACGACGCCAAGATGATTTGACTTAAGAAGCTTAAATGGAGATGTTAATACTCCTTTTCCTGATGCTCTTGCCCGCAAGATGTTTTCGCGGTCTTCCTGCAAAATAGTTAAACTTTTGAATTCTTTTTTAGCACATTGGTTTGGCAATAGAAAAGAAAAATTTTAAACGTTACTGACCTCTCCAGACATCATGTCGACCGATACAATATGGGAAACAGTTTCTTGAGCAAATATAACTGGCGCATATTCGTCTTGAATAGGTGCTGGGTCAAAATTTTCAGGAACACAGTCTTGAACAACTGTCTGGTCCTCAGTTTCCATTTTCTTTATTGACCATCCATGCTCCTTTTCAAATTTCTCTCTTTCCGAGTGTGGGACTTTCAAAGCATACGCTACACCACTTGTAAGAGGTCTCTCAAAGTTTGTTCTCTCAGTATATTCTTCAAATGTTTTCTATAAATGTAGCAGAAACTGATGATTTAAACAGAACAATGAGATACAAATGTATTTATCACTTATCAGTTAGAAAAACACATCACCTGATCAATGGCAGATGGGGATTTCCCATGGTGAAATGTAGATACAAGAATAGACAAGGCATGAACATGGTTCAGGCTAACATTGAACTGATCTTGTAACACGCGGGCTCGTTCATCACACATGTTTGCTAAAGTCTCCCTCCTTTTCATTATGATCTCCTCATTCGTGTCCCAAAACCACCACACGGAGAAGGAAACTCCTCCTAAGATACCGAGGAGAAGGATGTTCTTCCTCCATTTTCCAGCTCCTCTAGAAGAGGTCTGAGCACGTTGTTGCTGCTTCTTTTGAGCTAAAGGCTCTTGCATATGTACTCTTTCTTTACTCTCAGTTGGTGCTTTAGAATGAGATACATAAATCTTATGGCACACTAACACACCAAGGATTAGACACCACCATGCATTTCTCAAATAAGATGATAAACCCTGATCTAGCCCTTCTTCATAGTATTCTTCTTCAAGTTTTTCGGGTTGCTGCAAATTCTATCAAGAACCAAAACATTCAAAAAATAAAGTTCTGTGAGAGCTAGATACCAAATCTTTGAAGGCATTTCTTCACATATGTTAGAAGAATCCAATGTTATCTTACCTGTTCAAGATTATTACACATACGAGATGTTGATGAGACAGAATGTTCTAAGCCTGATGGATTAAGATTCCAGGGAACCCCTCCAGTTTCTTGTTTCTCAGAAAGCATACTTAAAGAACATGTAATATCATAATTTCCCCACATTCCAAGTCTTGATTCCTTACGACATTCAAAGGACAAAACCTGCAACAGATGCAGAGAATGGTAAAGTGTTTCACTTTAAGGCAAATCTGGTATGTTCAAAAGCTCAATTTTAACAAGAACCAAAGTCAAATTCAAGATAAGTTACCTGATCTGAATCAGAGAACAAAGAGACCAAATCATGAATCTCACTCCTGGTGACGTTTTGATGCCT